TCCAATTAAAATATTTATAATAACCAAAAATATCAATACAAATAAAAAAAAGTACCTCTGGTTAGTTATTAACACGTCTTCTTTAGGAGACCCAAACCAACCAAACAACAACACTCACGTTTTGTCACTTTGGACTTTGTCAAAAAATAAATTGTTTTTCCAAAGAAAAAAAAAAAAATCAATTCGCGTCTGTCCTACCAAAAAAAAAACCAATAGGATAAATAATTAGTACACGTCGATCAACTAAACAAACTCCTTTTCATAACTTTTTAATTAAAAACATGCACTCCATTAAGAATAAAAAAAGGAGCAAAAGCACCGCTCTTTGCGAAGAGAAAAGGTAAGTGTTTTAAGGATGGTGGTGGTGGTTATCGACTGCCACTCGTCGTCACTCTAGTTATGTATTCAAAAATTTCTCCTAAAAAAAATTTATTACCATGGCGCAGCTCATAAGAAAAATAAAATATTTTTCCATTCTAAATTTCTACTATATAGTAAAGAAATTCACGCGTGAAATTCAAGTTAGCCAATCAAAATTTTGTATCTACCCAATTTTTCCCCGCCGATCATTAACATCTTGATCCTCAATTAAAATTCCTTTATTAATAAGGAAATAAGGATGTTTTTAAAATGATTGTTTATATTATTGTTTTGCTTTAAATGAAGAAAAGAATCAATAAAATAATAGCTATACAACTTGTTTAAGTCAACAATATTATACACTATTCCACCTTCATTCTCAATTTATTTTATTGCCATCAATTACCAAATTTGTTAATGTGGTCAAAGTGGGTCAACAGATGAGAAAAAGGAAAATCGAATTTGGGGTAATGTAGCACTTAAATCAGAATTCGAGATTGGCATTTTTCCTTGAGATTTTTATAGGTGGCTCTTTAGTTAAATCAAAACCTATCAAGATCACCTTTTATGTTATTGTGATAGAATTTGAAAGATGACGAAAACAAAATTTTTCAAATAATTAAAGGTTAATTTAAATAATGAACCTAGTATGTTTAAATCTTAAATATCAATATTATATTTGAAAAGGCTATTCAGTAACTGTATTAAAGATTAATATTCTATCTATTATTATTAGGAAATCATTTGTTCCCGTTGAATTTCAAATTATTATATTATTACAAATGTACAGATTAAAATACATAAAATTTAATTTGCCCAAAAATTATGAGCACATAAAAGCATAGTTTGGAAAATTTTAAGCATAACCCATAGACATTCTATGAGAGCATAAAAGCATAATTTGAAAAAATGCGTAATCCTGAACACACTATGAATTAAAAAAAATTCCATTAACTAGTTAAAAATAGATATTACTAATGCATATTGTCATGGCTCCTGTTAATGTTAGTGGCGACGATGTCATCATAACTGTTGTTGTCAATGTAGTAGTTATTATTCATAATTTGATTATATGTTTGATAATAACTGGTTGAAGTAAATCGGCGAATTATATTTTCTCCTATTTTTTTCATTGAAGAGAAAAAAAACAAATTTTCGTAATTATTTCTTAAAAAAAAAAAATAATATCAACTTAAATTTTACCTTTCTCAACATCGTCGTCGTCATTATTATTATTGCCATTATCGTTATATGATTGAACAATAAAAATATTTTTAGAACATTCCCAATTTTTACGCAAACAATTGTCACAACTACCATTCCCTTCTGAGCATTTCCTATGTGATTTTTTACAGTTGTCACATGCTCTTGAAACGTATGGGCCTCTACTATTACTATATTTTTTATTTTTAGTGTTGTTAGTGTTGGTGACGATGTTGTTATTAAATTCGCTGTTACTACAGATACCAATGTTATTTTTTATCATTATTATTAATAATTAAAAAAATGAGTCTATAATAACAATAAGATACTAAGTGGTTTGAAAAAATATTTGTTTTTACTGAGAGAAAAGGATCGATCTTTTTTATATAAGAAGCGATTATATTACGACGATATTATTATTTGTTGCTTGAACTTATCATTTGATAAATTACTAATCATAAACAAATATTATGCGTGTATTTTACATAATTTTAGGTACAAAAAATATTATAAATTGTACGTATATTATTAACCCCCACAATTAATATTTATTACAGGTTTGTTTTCCGGACACCTATTGTACAAATATCTAAAGATAAAATCATTGTGAGCACATATATCGTGCATGGAATTCTTCTGTTCATGATCATGTATTTATTATGAGTTTGTTTCCAGAGATAAGGAACTAATCAAAATTACATTGATTGATCAGAATAACATTAATTTCATCGCTGCAGTTAGTAATGTTATACAATATAAATCAATTACTAAGTTTATTGGTGTATGTTGGATATTGGGTGCGGAAAAATACATTGTTATTATTGTCAAGGCTTGGCCATTTTATAGTTGATTCAAAGTATAGTTATTTGCCGTAATTGTTTTTGAGGAAAAGTTATTATGGCAATAATTACGAATTTTCGATACGAATGAACATAAAATAACTACATATTAATACGCCATTTGACTTAAAGAGTCAAATAACTATGGAGATAATTTTGGCAATTATGAAAGACCGAGAGAATTTGGAACGTCCAAATTCGGTGAATTGGGAAATTTTTAATTATTAATTATGGCAGATACGGCGATGATCATTTATTAAGAAGGATAATTATGGCGAACAACTATGATTTAAAGTAAATGTCAAATATCATTTATAAAATAAAGCTCTGATAAAAATTTAGTGTGAAATCTTTGAAATCTCTCCGAAGTTTTTGTGACCGTTGGTCATATGGTCATATATACAGTCATATAATTTCAATTGACCAATAAATTCATAGTTTAAAGTTCAAAGAAATCACAATATATTTGAAAATAAATTTCTTTTTAGAAACATAATATTTGACTTTAGAGAATAACAAATACAGAAAAGAAATAATTAATTAATTCGTGATCCATCAGTGAATGAAAGGATCTACATAGTAATTCCCCCACAAACAATATTAATATAGATAGGTTACTGTGCAGCTAGGTCAAATATTATAGTAAAAGATCTAGATTAGAAAATGACAATATTTGTGAAAAATTATCAAATTTGGGAAAGATAATGTGGAAATAAATTTTCAAGATTATGTATTATGTGGATTTAACTTCTTTATAAGCTTCATTTCCGCAAATTATTAATTTATTTTATTAGAGATAGTCACTATTAGATGCTTACTAAGGAAAAATATGATTCAATTTTCTACTTCACCGTACATTTCAAAGGTTGATGACTATCAGTTATTCATAGTAACACGACATAAATAGTTTTATTACCTTTTTATCTATCTGTATATTAATATTATTATAATGAATGCATTTACATTAATTTTTAATTCAATGTGTTACACGCCAAAATTTAAAAATTTATTATGAAAAACAAAAAAAACTCGATCGGAACTTAATATATTAATATAATATATTTTTAAAAAATATCCATTTTAGGTAATAATAATAATTGTTTTTATTTATAAATACATTTCGGAATTATTTATAGAATTTATATTTTAGATAACATTCTATATATGTTAATAAAATCTTTTTCATGTTATTTTTATTATTAAGAAGTAAAAATATGCATATGCGTTGCGCTCCTTTAATGTCAGAAATTATTAAACATACATATCCGTATGTATGATTATTTTGTTATGATTGTCATTGTTATTCGATTATTTTGCCTTATTCAATTTGTAACAAAAAATCATTTAATATAAGGTACAAGTGTGTCAATCGAAAGAATCTTTTCGGGTTGCGATATAGGGGTTAAGTATATAAAAAAAATTTTTTAAAATGTAATTTATATAGAAATAATAGTTTTAATAATGTCTCATAAATATATACTATTAAAATTTTACAAAAAATATATGTTGTTTAATGATTTCTTTTAAATAATGAACAATTTTTACGTCTGTTCATTATGAATCAACTGTTATATTATCTTTAAATAAACTACAATAAGCAAATCAATTTAGTTGTATCCCACTTTTACTCTCCGTTCTCTTTCTTGTACTTATTCGATAATGTGAATGTGGCTTCATTTCACCCACTGAAGCAAAGATTTACAATTAAAGTGGGATCCGATTCAGGCAGGGTTCTTACTATCAAAACGCATGCCGATTCTTTTTCATTTATTATTATATGTTAAACAACGATCTACATTTTAACTGGCTAATGAAATACTGGCTAACTGATTGACCGGTTCCAACCTCTAATTACAAAAAAATGTTGCCGTTTGGGGAAAGAAACAATTCAAGAAAGCATGCATTTATGTACTATAGATACTTTAATAGACCAACTTCCAAAGAAATTAATGAATATTTCGGTAAATATGATTATGAAAAAAGGAAAGATTATCAAGTTAGTATCAAGGAATTATAAACGAGCTAACAATCTATTTTATCAATAGATAATAATAATTCATCAAATAATTCAATAATTGAATATAATTTTGACAGCAATGATTTAGTATCTATATAAAAAAGAATGGCAGTGACGATGATGTTAGGGATTGTGATGTGACAATGGTATTTGAGGTTAAGATATTGATATTGGCCATATTGATGGCAGTGGTAACGATAAAAAGAAGCAATCCAAAAATTAAAAATATTTTTTATTTGTACTACACATTCATTCTTCAACAATTTCAGAATTTAAGATGATTGAATGAAATAAATTTTTATTACGGTATGTTGCACAAATGTAAAATGACAAAGGTTTAAGGTATATCTAAAGAGCTTAGTTTACTTATAGCAGGACATATTTTGATCACAGAGTTTTATGGGTGGTAAGCGCGAATGCATTTTGAACCTTTTTTTCCATCAATTCCATTCAAGGTAGGAAATATCGGCTTCGAATTGTTTATTGTTTAACAACATAACATGGACACCTTCTTGAGGACCTCGGACAATTATAATTGAACTGGTATGGAGAAAAGTGGGCGGTGATCTCGTTAAAACACCAGTCAGATTTTCAAGCATTTAAATAATAAAAATTGGATTTTTAAAAAAAAATGGCCCAAAAGGAAACTCACTAGCCATTTTTAATATATAAGATATTCCGAGTATGTTTTCTTGTCCGAGGTCCTATAAAAATTTTTTGGACGTTGTGACACCATTATTTCACGAACCAAAAAAGTAACAATTATTGTTTTATTATTTATTATTATTATAAATAAATTTCGAAATCAATTACATAAAAATACATATATATTCTTTTTCATTTTCTATCATCAATATCTCCTTTTTCGAAGATGGTAATTATCTAACTGCCAATGATATAACCTTTAAAGTATATATCCTCTTATCTAAGTTCCTGCAACTTTGAATTCTCTGAAGCCGTTATTTCCGATAGTCATTTTAAACGGAAATAAAGATTATTGTTATTTTGGAAATAATTCCAGATAATAATAACAATAATAACAGTAATAATAATAATAATAATAATAATAATAATAATAATAATAATAATAATAATAATAATAATAATAATAATAATAATAACAACAACAATAATAACAATAATGTATGTACAGTCACCGGAAGAAAGTATTGGAACGTTAGTTCCGTTTATTTACAAGAGTGGTTACAACATTAGTTACAAACTTTGTCATTATTACTGTATTCTAAATAATACAATTTCATATGCACGACTGTAAGAACAGAATGATCTTTTCATTTTATTATTATTATTATGTGTGAATAGTACATTTATTACATAATACAATCTTATCTATTAAATGAAAAGATATGATAAATATTATTATGTATATAGTGACCAACTATATACGTTACATGCATAGAGGTTTATAAATCATAACTATATTTGCCATTTTGGACGCTCATTTTGTTTATTACATTAATATTATAAATATAAATGAAATTTATTTGCAGTAATATTTTCGTAAACAAGCGTTCCGAACTTCCGCTTGGTAATAGTAAAGATTCTGTACACTGTACACTATGGACTCGGAAATTGTGCATTCTCAAAACTTGATTGGTGGGTGAAGATTCCGGATTATTATAATTGATAAGTTTTTGCTGTAGTTATACGAAAATTTGGGTAAAAGACTTTTTAATTAGTGTGACTATTTTGGGTATAGTAGAAAATTTTTATATGTTAAACAACAAAAAATTTTTAAAATAGAAAAATAGGCAAGAGTTAAATGTGTCCTTTCCATTTAAGTAAATTTTCTAATGGCCTGTTTATTACTACTGAATCATTGGCCAAAATCTATTATTATGAATTAGTGAAGAACATCAACAACTATATTAATATAATTTTCTTAGTTCTGTAGATAAAAATATATCGGATGATTTTTCAATGGTTACATATGAAGATACATACATGTCTTATATGGGTAAAATTTTAATTTTTTGACATGACATAGAGACATATATTAGAAGCTCTCCTAATAATTTAGAGAACATTAAAGACTTGAGGCTTAAAAGAAGAATGTGATAAAATTCCTCTAAACGTTTTGATGGATTTAATTGAAAACATGCCTCGAAGAATTCAAGCATGTATAGAAAATAGATAATGGCCAACTAAATATTAGGAAGTAGGGTTAAAACAAATAATCAATAAAGAATTTCGTGTTAATTTGTTTTTTTATTTATTGTATTCTGTAGACCTGCTCCTCCATAGTACAAAAAAGCATAGTGTACAGAATTTAAAAAGTGTGCTAGTAAACCAGGACCTCTGATTATTGTAATTGAGATAATATTCAGGCCATTAGTAAATTTTAGAAAGTTTTTACCCTTTTAAGAATGTAACTTTCCTCTCCTTTACCCATTTTAAGATATAACATGCCAAAGATGTTCGACAGGGATCAAGTTTGGGATTGATTTCTAATATCTTCTCCTCTATAAAAGATTTTTTTTTAATTGAGAATTCCTTAAAAAAGTAAACAAAAACCTTAGATTTGATTTATTTATAAAATCGGAAAATGAAACTCTGCATGCTTGTTTGTTATTATCTGGAAAATTAATCTATTTATTTGTGTAACGTGTTTGATCAAAAATATCAAAATATTCTATATATATCTAAAAAAAAACATCTATCAATTATTAAAATGGTATATTAAATCCAATATTTAACACACAATGGCGTAATTTTTATATAAAATCAAAATATAAAATATGAATATAATAAACATCATTAATGAATGAATATGAATTAATGAATTAATGAATCAATGGATTAATGAATTAACGAATTAACGAATGAATAAAACACCTATAAATTAATACTTTAAATTAATAGAAAGAGAATATAAAGAGCTCCAAATTAGGTTAGTTGGAAAATATATATTATTAATGTTTATCGTTCGTTATAATTGCTGGTAATGCTAGTGGTGGTAATGTTGGCGGCGGCGTTGTTGGTATTATTATAATGATCGTTGTTAAAGCAGTAGTGATCATTCATAATTTGATGATATGTTTGATAATAGCTGTCGATAATATAAAATTGATGAATTGGAAGAAACTTGGTTGAAAAAAATTTTTCGCCTATTTTTTCATTGAAGAGGAAAAGAATAAATTTCATAATTATTTTTTTTTTAAAAAAAATAAACTTAAGCCTTACCTTTATCAACGTCGTCACCGTTATCATTATTATTGCCATTATCGTTATTTGATTGAATAATAAGAATATCTTTAGAACATTTCCATTTTCTGCGCAAGCAATTGTCACAGCTATGATTTCCTTCTGAACATTTCCTATGTGATTTTTTACAGTTATTACATGCTTTTGAAACGTATCGGCCTCTGATTTTTTTATTCTTATTAATGATGTTGTTATTAATATTATTTTTCCCCATTATTAATAAATAATTAGAAATGAGTTTATAATAATAAGATACCTGATAAATAACAAATATATTATTATTAAATGCTTTGAAAAATATTTTAATTTGTTTTTACTGAAGAGAGAGAAAAGAATTTGGTAAAAAAATAAATTTAACGATGGTTAAATACCAAATGGTGATGGGCGTTTGATTCTCTTTGTAACAATATTAACATCATATAATTCATTTTTATGGAAGTTGCACACAATCAAAAATTTAATCTTTTTTAACTAAGGCATGCATTTTCCAAATACTTGCTGCATGTTTAGCTAAGCAAATTTGATTTTTTTCCTGTGAAAACAATTTTGCGGTTGCTGTCGCTCAAAAAACACCACGTTATTATTAATGTGACTTAATTAAGTTAATGAAAAAAGAGAATACAAAACCTAATTAATGGCGAATGGAATTCTTTATCTACTTAAATATCCTTGAAAATTAAAGTCAACATGTGATTATCCTTTCCATCAATACGTGTTTGTTTCTTAGGAATATTATAGAATAAGATATTTGGATGAATAATCCCTTCGTCGAGTATGTGCATCTATGGACGAATCTAATTATTGGTTAAGAAAAAAATGTAAGTTATCTTTAGTTTGATTTCTTTTTTAACAAGGATTAAGAATTAATAAGCTGTAAAAATCGGTAAAATTATACAATATAAACCCGGTTGCTTAAGATCCGCTGCATTTTTTGAATTTATTGGTGGGTTGAATGAGTTAACATTCAGAAATGTAGAATTGTGGAATTCAATCGTGTCGTAGTACAAATTTATTACTTTTCAAATGTTACACGTAATATATTTAAGTTGGAATAATTTTAGAGAGTATTAACTAAACCTGGCTTTTTTTCTTCAAAAAATATTGCAATAACCATGTTTATTTCAAAGAAAACAAAACGTCTTTTGAAATTTACGGTTGGACGAAGATCTTATCCAAATTATTCGTACATCATCGAGTTGTATAACCTGTTGAAATTATAGTTGTTCACCATAATTGCCCTTAATGAATGATCGTTTCCGTATTCATAGTCATAATTAACTTTTAGTTGCGAAAATTATCATTGAACTCTTTAAGTCAAATGGCATATTAATATATCAGTAATTAGGAGCATTTAAATTCTTTATGATATTAATATAATTATATTATGTTCATTCATATAAAGTACATAATCCTTAATTATTGTCATAATGATAATCACTTTCCCTCCAAAAACAACTATATTCGAAATTAGTGATATCGGTTGTTGAAAAAAACCCTAGCTGGCTAAGAACTTTTTTTATCTTGGATAAATAATATGAATTATCAAAAAATCAATTATTTTTATTGTTTATAAAACTTTTATCAAAAATCTATTTCTTTTCTTGTAAATATATCTCTATATCGTTTGATAACTATCATTACCATTATTTGTCCATTCAAAATCATCTTTATTGTCATTAAAAGGTATCTGGTTCACTATTGTTATCATTATCATCATTATTATTATTTTACAAGAAAGAAAATCAGACTTAAAATTCCTTGGCCGGCTAATATCACTATTTTTGCATTTTACGAAAATTCATAAATACTGTAGAATTCGAATAACAATAAACAACTTCTGGCCTTCGCTTAAAAAGTAAAAGTCAACCTCGGGTTCCATACAGAGGAAAACAAATACAAATCTAACATTCTAATAAAATAAAAACATTATTTTTCCTTAAATAAAATTAATTCTTAAAATTGTTAATAAACAAAAACGTCGACTTTAGTCGGTCATTCATTTACAGTGAACTTATGTGTAAAAAAAAAATTGCGGCAGCCATATCTGTTTGTGCAACCGCTTCTATTTGCAGCAGTTGTATCTATTTTATAATGGTAGTTACCATTGTTGCAAATAACCAATTATGGCAGGTGTCTTTAGTCTTTCCAAAAAAATTTTTAAAGCCAATTTTTTTAAAACATATTCTATCGTTTTTTTTATGATATTTCCAATTTGGATCATCTTCAAAAAATAATCTCAAATCCTGGGCTGCTTTAATGCCATTTCATGCCATTTTCTAGATTTAAATTACTTGTGATATCACTATAGATGATTGATTTAAATTTGAAAACATGTTATAATTATAAATGATAATTTTTTAATAAATAAAATTTAGATTTTTGTTTCTGATGTTTTAGACTAAATATTTGATTTTTTAAAAAAAAAATTCTTATAAGAAATTCACCAAAATTTATTTTTGAAATTTTTGTCTTGTTGATTCATAATCCCTTCTGATGATTAATGGTTTGGCCAACCTTTAACTATTAGTTAGGAACCCTTTTAATTTTCTGATCGCCAGGACTTGGCAGAAAATGGCCAATATCTCTTCCTTCCGATATATTGGATAAATGATTGCGGGATATTTTATAGGCATTCAAGCTTATAAAATGGGTGTAAGTGTCACCTTCATCTTTTCCTTTTGCTATACTATATAATATCATTTTTTCTTAGGATTGTGCAATGGCAAGACGGCACCTTTCTCAAGGAGATGAAAGAACCATGGATAAAAACACAGTTAGCATCTTGACTTCTTGAGCTAGTGAGTCCAATAAAACCTGGTGAAATTGAATCAAATGCAGAAAAAACAGTCTCCAACTATAACAAAGCACTGGCATTACCAAAATCAAAGCAAAAACTCATGTAGATGGGCTTGATGATGTTGAAGAATTTGAAAATCTCTGGGTCGAATTAAAAGGTGGCTTTGGTAATTATCATGAAACTGAAAACGAAAATAATCGTGAGGATTTAGATGTATTATTTAAGGGATTCTCAACAATGTCTGCTATGCAAGAACTTACATTACCAGAAGAAACAAAGAAAAAGATTGGAGGACTTGAATTTTTTGGAATAAGAGGGATCGGAAATCATTTTCAGTTTTGGGGTAGTTTACAGGTTTCCAAATACCTTATGTGCTCATATTTGTAGGAGAATTTTGATTATCATCGTTTGAAGGAAGAGAAGGTAGCAGCATTCAGGATTTATTATATGCAATCAGAATTGTTTACTCATTCAAGATATACTGTATATTTATTTTATTTTCAAAAAGTTTGCTTGAGCTTTATTATCAATACTTATATTGTTATCAAAATACAGACAAGAGTGGAAATTAGTAGATTAAATTTTCATCAGATAAAAGCTTTAGCGATAAGTAAGAGAGTTTTTGAAGCTGACTCTTCACCAATCAAGGCAAAAAGAGTTTGAGAGTAATACTCTGCAAGGGTCATGTGAATTTATTTTTTGTTAATTAAAAATTACTATTAAAAATATACAATATCTTTTTTCTTACATATCTTTATATTTATTAAAGCTCTAGTTTTGTTAAATCTCTTTTGAAGAACAGGTTATAGAAAGGTATAAAAAAATTTTCTATTCGCCATTACAGCCTAAATTCCCCTTAGTGTTCCTCAACGAATGTTATATAACATACCGTTGTGGACTGGGTTGCTGTGATCATGAATATTGCCATTGTTATTTGACATTAAATGCCGTTGCATCTTAAGTCTCCTTAGTGTTCCTCAGTGAATGTTATACAAGATACCATTGTGGACTGAGTTGATGTGATCGCATACAATTAGCATAAAGTGTGATGTGTATTTGAGAAATTTTTTGATTTTTTATATAGTTCTAGCAGTGTAAGATTAACCTTATTTTTTTACGTTATATTCGAAAGATCTGAAGTAGAATATAAGCAAGAAATTATCTATGGATTAATATGAATTAATATAATATATATATATGTAAAGATTTACTATACATACATTTTTACAACCAGATTATTCATAAATAAAAATAAACAAATAAAATCGTGTGCTCGAGAATAATTGTTCATGCTGACCACTTTTACCCAAGAAAAAACTCGATCATATATGGATTAGCCTTGCTAGTTACCACCAATATACATCGATACCAATATATCAGAAAAAATAAATATACATGTACTAAATGTGATTATTTTTATATATATATATGTGTGAGATCGAGCCACCAGGGCTTGCTTTATTGATACAGGATAAAAAAATAAAATAAATACAGGATAAAATAAAATAAAATACATGATAGAAATAAATAAAAATACATGTAAAAAAATGGTTATTCATATTTTGGTGAAGAAACAGTATAGTTGGCTCGGTCTAAAGACCTTCTAAATTTTGGGCAAATTTTAAAAGTATAGAAGTCACTTTCTGTCCTACCTTTTTAAAGAATAGCTCTATTAGTTGATAGAATATGTCTTTAGTTTTAATGTAATAGAGAGATTTTATCAAAAAAATCATTTGTTGTAGAGTTCTATTCTTTTTTAAAACATGCACTTTTACTATGCTCGCGAGGAATTTGTCTACTATGATCATTTCTAAATTTAAAAATTATTACCAAACTTAGACTAGCTCTTGATTATCATATCTAAATTTGGCAGTAAGAAAACTGAAATCACGTGATGTACTATTTTTTTGAAAAATTTTATTATTATTACATTTTTGAACGAATTACAAAATTGCATATTTTGAAATTTGGCCGCATGGCGCAGCAATAGGAGGTCTTTAGACTGAGCCAACCATAGGACTTGGGTGAACGTTTCTAGGAGGATGCGAAGTATCCTGTCCCAATGCACGCACTAACAAATTCTTATTAACAGTCAAGATGTTCTCAAAGTCAACAATAAACGTAGAAGAGGGCTCACACGCTGAAATGAATTTGGGGGATAATGGTATCTCCGCATGGTCTAAATGAAAACAACGTGGTATACCTCCCGCATCTTAATAAGAACATTCAAGTACATAATATCTCCAGCTACTTGTATTCCCCCAATTCCAAATTGGTTAGCCATCGGTCTACACGTTGCATCAATAAAACTTATCCATCCAATTTTTCTCTCCATAGCTTTACATAATCACCATTTTTCTTTGTTTTGGTACAGTTGATGCGGGAGGATTCAATATGTAAAAGTTCAAAAATCTTCTCTGTAACTTTTATCAACATCATAACGTCAAGTTTCTTCCCCATACGTTCTCCACTTAGTCCTATATTTCTTCAAGCCTTGTTGCAAGACTCTGACGTTCTGCTCTATAAATAGTAAAAAATATGTTTAGTATAATCACATCAACTTTTGTAATGATATTTTATACATTAACGCTTACGTGCTCAAACAGATGTAACCATTTGGAAGATTTCCCAAACTTGCACGAAGCAATGGAACTACAACATCTGTTATATATGCCCCCTCACTTTGTTGGTTACGAGATGTACTGGTCGCAAATGTTAGATTACTCCAGACCTCTCCACTGGTTCAAATTTATATAAGTTACTTTGTTAGAAATTCATCTCAAAAATTTATAAAGTTACTTACAGCACATTTAGAATGCGTTCAGTTATTTTTATTAATTCAGATTCACATTCCGAAGAAAAAACATTTCCACTATTTTGTATATGTGAATTACTTTGCTATTCACGTTCACAATTTTCTATATAATCTATATATAACACGGGAATGAGATATGCGATATTTTTTTGTCATAGTATTAGTATTTACTGCATCAGGTACTAACTACCACTGGTGACCTCATCTGAAAGAAATGTCGCATTAGCACTATAGTATTTTTTATGAATACGTCCCATAATGTCTAATTTTTTACAACTGTAATATTATGAAAAATAAAGAAATGTTTCACGATGTTTCGTAATGTTTTGAAATATGACGAGATGTTCCGATATATTTGTAAAAAATTTTAAAAATTATGAATAATCTTTAATAATTGTATTTTTACAGATATAATTGATTCAAAAATATATAGCTAATGTATATACCCTACGAGATATTAATTCAGACTTGAATTCTTCTTTATGGAAAGGACATCGCCTCGGAGGTATACGTGAACAAGAGCTTGAAGAAAAATTACCATTATACATGTACACTCAAATCTATAGATGAAACAAATGAGCTTAGTGAAAAATAATTCGAGTAAAATGAACAATTCAAACAAAACAAATAGTTTGAATAAATGAATAAGTGAATAAACTAATGGCATTGTTTGATTCAACAAAACTCACAAATCTACTGTTGTTTGTCTTCGTTGTGTATTTTTGGAGGAAAGGATCATTTGGGTCGGAAAATGGGAACCTCTTCTGGAAGTTGGCTGCAATAGTAGTTCAACGAGTAAGTTGAAATGATTTAGATATGGAATTTTTATTTGATAATATACTGTAGTATGATTTTTATTATATTTAAATTATTCAGATGCATGTATTAAATTTTAAAATTTTAATATTAATAAGTTATTTATATATTATATATATTATATAAGTACATCACTTCAACTTGTTAATGCTATAAAAAATAAAAACATTGATTTGAAAAGGTAAGTAAATAAATAATACTGTAATTACAGTATACTATATTTATTTTTTTGACAAAATCATTATTTTAGTGTGCATATTTGACATCCAAATTTCAATGAAAAAAAAAAACTCAAAGATATATAATATCACTATTAAATATAATTCATTTCTCAAGATATTTAGTATCAAAACTGTAGTAGCCAAATAAATAAAAATAAAAAATAAAAATGATAGTATTTAAAATTCATCTATACCTAAATCAATCTGATGAGAATCTAAAAAAATATTTATTCACAAGAGTGGATATTAATATTAAATTAATAAAAATGAAAATAATCATTGATTAAATGTTAATAATCACCTCTATGGTTACAAATAATTGTTACTTTATTGGAATTCACAGGTTGGGGAAGGTTTGTAAATTTTAATAGTCTGCTAGTATAAATTGCATTTGGATGAATTGTTGCAGTAATTGTTGAAGGATCAAATTTTATTTCATTCATTTTCTTAAACTCTTTTTCAATTAATTCATATTTATCACCTGACTTAGTATGTTGAAGTGAATCATACCAAAAATCAATAATCTTAGAAATTTCTTCAGCAGTTGGACGTTTATCTGGATTAGCATCCATGCATTTGAATGCTAGTTCAATATAGAATTTTGGTG